AGTTTCAGTGGCAGCAGCTGAATCTGGAGCCAGTTCCGACTTACATACAAATTCAACTTAAGAACAAACCTATAGTCCCTATCTTGTACGTAACCCAGGGCCTGCCTGTACTTGCTTCATACATTAACCTTTGATTATTTTTGTTGCCCTCTGTGGGCTCTCCAATTTGTCCACATCTTTCCTACAGCCTGGCAGCCAGAACTGGACACAGCTCTTCATGTGAGGCCTCACCAATGCCATGTCTCACATGACACTCCTATTAAATACACCCAGAACGGTATTATCCCCTCAGAACAGCGCCACGTGGCTGACTCATTCCATCTGTGAGCCACTCCTCCGAGAGCAGCCCACCACCTAGCCGGTTACTCGCCCATTTTGTATATGGGCAGTTGATGCTTTCTTCCATTCCTTCCCAAGTGCAGTACTTGGCACTTTTCTAAACTGATTTTAATCTTCTTGATTTCAGACCAATTCTCCAATTTGTCAAGGATATTTTGAGTCCCAACTCTGTGCTCCAAGGTGCTTGCAACTAGGGATGCTTGGTAGCGGGTAATAGTAAGTGCATGAACTTTTATTGGTTAGTTAACTATTCTAGAGTTGCCACAGGGGGTGGGGCCGGCAGCCAGTACAGCAATCTGGCCCTACTCCCAGAGCCCCCTGCTACCCCATGCTGCTACCTCGGATACAGAGGCAGCAGGGCAGGATAGCAGCAGCCCCTGTCCATAGGGGATCCGAGTTCTCCACAGACAGAGGCTGCTGGGGAGGAGGGGGCGAGGGAGGCTTCCGCAAAGCAGCCCCTGTCCATGGCAAGCCAGTCTGGCCACGGACAGAGGCTGCTCCTCAGGTTGCAGAGCAGCCTCAGTCCGTGGCCAGCCTGGGCCCGCCTTGGGCAGGGGCTGCTGCTGTTGCTGTTGCTGTGAAGCAGCCTCTTCCCATGGCAAGCCCTCCTCTCCCACCCCCTTGCACTACGGACTCTAATCGAGGCAGCAGCCCAGTGTTGGGGGAGAAACATGTGACACCACGGAACTGGTGCTGGGGGTAACGGACTTTTAAACTGGCTCCCCCCCACCCTTGTTAGCTCTGTATCAGAGGCAGCAAGGGGAGGGGTGAAATGCGAGTAGTCAACTAGATTAATTGATAAACCTAGGTTTAGCAATGATTAATCTACCACTCATTCCCAACCCTACTTGCACCCGCCCCGTCAACTTTGTGAGATTCACAGATCTGATGCGCTCTCCACTCCACTACTCAGGTCATTAGTTAAATATTAATTCATACCAGACCCATGACCAGACCCCACAAGATACATCCACCCGACTGTTGACAGCAAGTGATTAATAATCATTTGGAGTATAGAAGCTTCAGGGGGTAGCCGAGTTGGTTTTTTCCTGTAACAGACTAACAAATGGTCTGGTAGCACTTTATAGACTAAAAAAAAAAACATGTAGATGGTATCATGATCCCATCTACATGTTTTGTTAGTCTATAAAGTGCTACCAGACCATTTGTTGTTTTTTCCTGAGTATAGTCTTTTGACTAGTTATTCACCAGCCTTATAGAAATTTTGTCTACAGTACATGTTCCTAGTTTGGTTATGAGAATGCCATGTCAGACTGCTAAAATCAAGATACATCATGTCTGCTGTTTCCCCTCCCCTGTTATAGAATGACAATAATCAAGGGGAAAAAAAAAATCAAGCCAAAGTAATCCAGTCCTTATAGAATTATCTTCTAGGGCGGGCACTTGCAAAATGATTACTAGTTTGTTCTAGTATTTTTCCAGGTAACACAGTTTGGCTGACTGATCTATAGTTATTTCTTGAGCCCTTTTTGTTCTCTCTTTTAAAGTTGGAAAACCATAGTTCCTTTCTCCAGTCCCCTGGAACACTCACTCATCTCTTAAGAGTACAAGAACAGATCTATGGAGTTCATCTAGCCCAATATTCACTCTTCCCTGTAAGAAGCTGTGTTTGTGTGTGGCTGATCAGGCGAGATTCAAATGCCACCCAGCTGATTAGCAGAGCACCCACCACTAGGTGTTGGTACTGGTGGTGCACATTTCTCTGTGCACATAAAATTATTCCACACGTGGATGGAAAAGCTGAGGGAATGTTGCCTGTATCATTTCTCTGACAGTGACCAATGTCGGACACCATGGAAAGAAAAAACAGAACAGGGTAACTGAGTGATCCATCATCCCCTGTCAGCCCATCCCAGTCACGAGATTGTCAGTTAAGGACTCATGTATGACTTAGCCCCAATTATCACAGAAGTTTCCTTTTTTTTTTTGGAAGTAAGGATTAAGATTTAGCAATATTTACAGCTATTCAGGCATGGGAGCGCCCAGGAACCTGACAGCTGCCCCTCCCTATAGCTGTGACTAATGGTTACATTTCACCTAGTGGGCAATGAGCGTGCATAGCCCACAGTGCCTCCCTTGGCTCATTGCAATAATGACAACTCCATGTAGTCCCATCGCATTCCCTCCTCCCGGCCCCCCACTTCCCCACTGGGCATGCCTCATCCCTAGCACCAAGCCAGCCGTGCTTCCTCCTCCACCTCCCTTGCTCAAGGGCGCTGCGTGGCCCTCCCTGCTGATGCTCCTCTTTTCCCACCACACCCTGGATGGCTAAGCAAAGCCAAGAGATGGGCAGCTTTGCCGGGTTTAGACAGAAGCCGTGCGGCAAGATGTACCCTGGCTGCTTCCTGTGCCAGCTGCAGCTGTGTGAAGAAGTCCTTCTGGGCGCTGGTCAGGAGGACTCTCTCGAAGACGCACTCCTGCACCTGGGCAATCATCAGTCGCACGAGCATGTTCAGTGAGGCCGTGCTCATGTCCAGGCTGGGGGCGTTGGAGAAGTTCTCCTTCAAGTAGTTAAAGGCACCTGCATGAATAGAAGCAACTGGAGTGAGATGTTCCCCAAAGCCCTTCCGCTTACAAGGTTAGAGCCAAGTGGAGGACCGGGCAACGCAAGTAGCAGTGGGCATCACCACCACCCTCCTTGGGATTAGCAGAGCAGTAGTCGACAGGCATCGATATGCCTGGCATGTCACATGGTTAGGACTCATGCGCTGGGCTCTCCAAACGCCTCCGGGCCCTGGGACATTGCTGCTGCCTGCGTGGACTGCGTGTGCTCTCGACTCCGCAGCTCACGCTGCTCTGTGTCATGAGTGACAGTGATTAGGACGCGCTGGTGAATGAGTGCAGAGATCTAAAGGGCTTCCAGACACCACCAGTCACACATGCCTCAGAACGAGGCACTTTCAATACTGCTCATGAAGTCTTGTTGCAGGGAAGGTGACATGGGGCACCTGCCCTACACTGGGCTCTCAGAAGGGCTAATAGGAGCTGCCAATCAAAGTCAGGCAGGCTCACAGAAGACAAACTACAGTACAGAGCAGCTACAGTCACTCCCTGGAGCTTGAGGAGGGAGGAGGACTGGCTGCCTTGCAGAGTGAAGGCAACAAGCACTCTGCAGAGCAATGCTGCCGATGAAGACCTGGGGAACTAAAAGCAGCTGCAGGTAGGCTGCGGGGAACTGTAGGCTGAGGCCTTGAGCCAAGAGGAAAGAGGCTGGAGCTGTGGGGAGATATATTGATGAGTCAGAGGGGGCACTGCAAGCAGCAGCCACAATCCGCTTGGGTGGGAGTCAGAGTTGTGGGTGGGCGTGGGTTCCCTGGATCCCAAGATCCTGTCTGCCAACAGTGGCCAATGCCAGATGCCCCAGAGGGAGTGAACAGAACAGAGAATCATCAAGTGATCCCTCCCCTGTCACCCATTCCCAGCATCTGACAAACAGAGGCCAGGGACACCATTCCTGCCCATCCTGACTAATAACCATTGATGGACTTAACCTCCATGAATGTATCTAGATTTTTTGAACCCTGTTGAAGTCCTGGTCTTTACCACATCCTCTGGCAAGGAGTTCCACAGGTTGACTGTGAGCTGAGTGAAGAAAAACTTCCTTTTGTTTGTTTTAAACCTGCTGCCTATTCATTTCGTTTGGTCACCCCTAGTTCTTATATTGTGGGAATAAGTAAATAAGTTTTCCTTATTCACTTTCCACACCACTCATGATTTTATAGACCTCTATCCTATCCCCCCTCAGTCTCCTCTTTCCTAAGATAAAAAGTCCCAGTCGCTTTAACCTCTCTTCATATGGGACCTTTTTCAAACCCCTAATCATTTTTATTGCCCTTTTCTGAACCTTTTCCAATGCCAAGAGATCTTTTTTGAGATGAGGCGACTACATCTGTACACAGTATTTAAGAAGTGAGTGTACAATGGTTTTAGAGAGGCAATAAAATATTTTCTGTCTTATTCTCCATTCCTTTTTTCATGACTCCTAACATGCGGTTTGATTTTTTGACTGCTGCTACACACTGAGTAGCTGTTTTCAGAGAACTATCCACTCCAAAGATCTCTCGAGTAGTTGTAGCCAAATTAGTCCCTGTCACGTTGTATGTATGGTAGGAATTATTTTTTCCAATGTGCATAACTTTACGTTTAGCAACATTACATTTCATTTGCCATTTTTTTTTTGCCAATCACTTAATTTGGTGAGATCTTTTTGAGGTTTGGTGAGATTTTATAGCACAGCAAAGAGTTAGGGGGCACTGCCAGAATGTATGCAGCTAGCAAACATTCAACACCAAAGTCTCTCCCTTCAAACGAACAATAAAGTCCTCTTACCATTTTTTTCCCCCGTTTAAAAACAAAAACAAAATGATCATCCCTCAATAGCTGCCTTACCGGCTGCCTTTTGAAAAGCGTCTATTGCCCGATCGACCCCTTGCAGAGTCATGCGGTCCTGCCGGGCCCCTATCTGGGTGTGCAGAGCCCCGATGTTGAAGAGCACGCTTCCCTTTTCAAAAGCCAGAGCACGCTGATGGGAAGGGACTCCAGTGAGCGAGTCATACCTAGAGACAGGGGGGAGAAGACAAATTTGCAGCTTAAAACCCAGACTTGCCAGCATGCACAGGAGTATGGTCTATAAGCCTACCAAGAGGCTTGAAAACCCAGCCACTTTCAGTGTCTATATTGGGAGGAGGGCACTCGTCGCTGTGGCCATGAAGTGTTAAAGATTCCAAGGCCAGAGGGGACAACTGAAATCATCTAGCCTGAGTTCCTGTGTAACACAGGCCAGAGCCCTGCCCCAAAGTAAAGCCTAGAGCCGATCTGTTAGAAAATCACCCAAATCTTGATTTGGAGAAGGTCAGCAATGGGCAAGCCACCACAAAACAAACAATGCCCATGCACAGCTTTCCACAGGGCCGTCTGTGCCCGACCTGAACACATCCACTCAAGATCGGACATGAAGGAGACCTCAGGGGCACTGTTGTTTCAAACACACACAATCCTCTTGCCATTGAGTAAGCTCCAGATTCGTTTGCTGCTCACTATGTATTCCTAGTTTGCTCAACATGAATCCGAAACTGATCACCCTCTGCACTGATTCCACGACTTGCTGGGAAGGCTCTCAAATCACTGACCGATCGCAGGGAGGTTATGCTGCCCTTAAAGATACAGGAGGATTAAACCCCCCACTCTGCAGACTTTAAGGGATTTGCTTAAGGCCATGTGGAATGTAGTGCTGGAAACCAAATCTCCACGTTAATGCATCCAACTTCTGGAGATGAGGACAGACAAAAGGGCAGATTTCTGGAATATTTCAGAGGAACATGGTTTAGAGAGCCCCTGAGCATCTGGCTGGATTTACCCACAGCCCTCACAAAAAAAACCAACAGCACTGAGACTACACACAAGTGTAAAAGACAGAACAACCCCGCTCACACACACACACTGACCAGTGAAAGAAGACACCCAAGTTTTTATTGGGAGGGAAGAATCGGTTGTCCAGGAAGTAAAGCTGGTTGTAATATTCCATCAGAAGTTCCAGCCCCGCCTCATTCCGGCTGGGAGTCCCCCTCACAAAAAAAACCAACAGCACTGAGACTACACACAAGTGTAAAAGACAGAACAACCCCGCTCACACACACACACTGACCAGTGAAAGAAGACACCCAAGTTTTTATTGGGAGGGAAGAATCGGTTGTCCAGGAAGTAAAGCTGGTTGTAATATTCCATCAGAAGTTCCAGCCCCGCCTCATTCCGGCTGGGAGTCCGCAAAGAAACAAACTTTTGGATGTCAAAAAGGGCACCACTTGGCCGAGACAACACAAGGCGTATGCGTCACTCAGCACCCCTTTCGCACTATTCTGAGGGGCCAAGTGTGGGATTTAGGAGGGGCAGAAGCCTTGGCTTTGGCAGAAGGGGGACGAATTTCACCCTATCGGAAAGTCTTTTCCCATGCTAGAATGAGAGATGGATCCAGGGAGAAAGGGGAACAGCATACAGTCACAATTAGAGACTGCGCCTATGCATGGTACAAGAGGGCTGAAGGAGTTATTGGCAAACCTCTAACTTTTGAGCGCTTGTCTCTGCAACCTTTTAACACAGACATTTTGGATGTAACCGTGTGCATCCATTGTTGGCACCACCTTACCCCTATGAAGCCTAACAGAAGAGGAAGAGCAAGTTACATAATGCCCAGCCCTAGGCTGAACTATTATGACAGACCTCAGCAAACTAAGGGTGTTTGTACTGCAGCCTCACTGAGACAGCTGCATCTACCAACCAAAGCTTGGGGGGAAAATAGGAAATGTGATCAAACGTGGAATGGGAAGCAGCTCAGTTGGACTTCCAAGGCAATTTAAGACGACATGTTTTAATAGATTTGGACTTGAGCAGAATACTATGATTAATTAAAGCGTAAAACTTAGTCTTTCCATTCTAGCAGTGGGCTTTTCGGCGGCAAGTTATTGGAGGCTCAGATGCTAGGGTATATTCTTGATAATTAATTCTGATAGTTGACAGTCCCGTTTTAATATTTCCTCAAAAGGGCCCCAATCCTTAGTCCTGGAGGAATTCTGCACTTACTGCATTTGGAGCCAAAGGGGGGAATTCGGCAATTTTACTATGGCTATAAATGCAGTAAGCGCAGAATTCCCCCAGGACTGTATCCTGTGGCTTGACCCACATAATACACCGTTGCATCAACACAGTATTTTGTAACCTACAAACTGAACTGCAATTTTTCCAACATGTGCTCCAGGGAATCTCAGATCCGGGAGGATATAAAATACAGTGTTCCAGGACAGCTCTTGAAGGGAAGTGTAAATTCCACCCATGGAGGAGTTAATGGATTTGCAAAGATTTTTCTCCTGAATTGGCCAAACCAGGATGCTTCAAAAGAAAAATCCATGAGGGTCACAAACCTGCCGCAGCTCCATGAACTCTTTGATTTCCTTGTCAAATGAAGTGTCATCTTCCCCATAATGGTCACGGATGAAATCCTGGAGGGGGGGGGGGAAGAGGAGGGGAGAAAAAAAGCTTTTGGCTTACTTTGTTGGGTGATGGATTTCTGTGGCTACCAAACAAGCAACTCACCAGCCCTTAGCAAAAGGAGTCGATCCTTTCTAAGCACACGGCAAACAATGCCAGGAGACAACTCCACAGTCCCACAACATCCCCTGAACTCGCAAAGCTTCAAAACAGGTTAATACACAGAGATTCATAGAGGGCTTGTTTGGCTTCTCTCCACAGCAGATTGTGGGACAATTCTTTGGTGGTTTTTCCACTGCTTTCATCCCTTCTAAAGCTAAAAGTGATAGGGACACGATCTAGCTTTTATTTGCAATGCTTTAGAAGCTGGTGTTACTGTGACACACAGGCCTTTCGGCAATGGGTCCCTTATCCTTCATAAACAACTCATTTCAGACTTGACAAACTCACCACACCACATACATTACATTGCTTAGAGAATTTACCCATTAAAGGGTAACACACAAGGACTCTGCTGAAAGTTTGCAACTTATTGATCACACATCATGGCATGATTATGTACAACTGGATATTTAAGGAATAATAAAACTCTATTGATGTTTATGCCTTTAAGTTCTTCACTTTAAAAGGAGTCAACAGGAAGACAGCTGATTCACACAGATGGGAGGTGCCCCCCTTCCCCAGGCTGTGATGTAACACAAGCTCAATTGTCCACCACTGGCCCAATCACAGAACAGCCAATGAAAATCCAGCAGAGAAATGCAAGTTATCAAATCTCTGTTGAGTTAAAAAAGGACCATAAACAGGGGACTGCGGTGTCTAGGAATAAAGACAAGAGAGACAGTGGAAAGAGGCATGCTGGAGCCAGAGAGGCGACATCTTGAGGGGTGTTTTTCCAGGAGAAACTGGATCTCATTTCCTGTGATGGCAGCTGGGGTAACTTCCATTCCATTCCTGGGTCTGTTGCTAAAGCCAGCAATGGACTGAACCCATCCCAGTGCTTCCCCACCCTCCTAGGGAAGTAGTTTTTCCCAATATCCAACGTAGACCTTCCCCACTGCAACTTGAGACCATTGTTCCTTGTTCTGCCATCTGTCACCATTGAGAACAGCCCCTCTTCATCTTCTGTGGAACCCCCCTTCAGGAAGTTGAAGGCTGCTACCAAATCCCCCCTCATTCTTTTCTTCTGCAGACTAAAGAAACCCAAATCCCTCAGCCTCTCCTCGTAAGTCATGTGCTCCAGCCCCCTCATCATTTTGGTTGCCCTCCACTGGACCCTCTCCAGTACGTCCACATCCTTTCTATATAGGGGGGGGCCAGAACTGGACACAGTACTCCAGATGTGGCCTCACCAGTGCTGAATCAAGGGGAATAATCACTTCTCTAGATCTGTTGGCAATGCTCCTCCTAATGCACCCTAATATGCCTTTGGCCTTCTTGGCTACAAGGGCGCCCTGTTGACTCGTATCCAGCTTCTCATCCACTGTAATCCCCAGGTCCTTTTCTGCAGAACTGCTACTTAGCCAGTCAGTCCCCAGCTTGTAACAATGCTTGGGATTCTTCAGTCCCAAGTGCAGGACTCAGCCCTTGTCCTTGTTGAACCTCATCAGAATACTTTCAGCCCAATCCTCCAATGAGTCTAGGTCACTCTGGACCCTGTCCCTACCCTCCAGCATCTCTATTTCTCCCCTTAAATTAGTGTCATCCGCAAACTTGCTGAGGGTGCAATCCATCCCCTCCTCCAGGAGATTAAATAAAACCGGCCCTAGAACCGATCTTTGGGGCACTCCACTTGAAAACGTTAACCTGCAAGGCCAAGACAGGGCTGGCACAGCCCAGAGAAGAGTGCAAGAGTGGTAGGGAGCGAATAGCCAGCTTGCCCCAAGCAAGACTCCCTTACCTGGGGGCAGGAGGTAACATGGTGTCGAGCGATTCTTGGTACGCTGAGAACATCACAGTTACAAAGAAAAAGAGCAGAAAACGTTGAAGCTGCATGTTTAGCTTCCCACCTGCCAGCCCTCCCTCCCTCCCCACTTTCTTTCCCAACGCACATGACAGTACTCTTTATGCAGAAATATTTAGTCAAGTCCTCATGACCTGCCCATAGTTAGTTCATACAGCACATGTCAACTCAAATAACTTTAAGCAGGCTTACCTTTAATGGGGACATTAAATCCATCTCCTTAGTCTCCTTTAGCCCCAAAGGAATCATGGGGACGCTGATGGAGTCACTAAAACGAGAGATGACAAGCACAATTTACGTTTCCAATCACTATTATCTTACACGTGTAAGGGATCCTCATGCTTCAGGCCATAAGTGATCACAAGCTGGGGTCAGGAAGAAACGTCACCTGATTAGAATGGCAAATATGTGGTTTTTAGTTCTCTCTGTGGCAGCCAGCATGGGCCCAGTGTCAGAGACTCGTCAGGTCATTACTATCATCCAGTGGGAGCACATTTTATACTCTTCTTTGACCTACTTCAAGGCAGCCCAAATGCTATAGTCCGAGTATCTCCAGTTAACGGTCACTCCACTATGGTGTTGACCAGGACTCCATTAACATCAAAGCCGGAACGCCCACTTAACTTAAGAGACCGGGCTGTGAGAAAGCCCATGGAAACCAGACCCAGATATTCTCAGCTGTGGTGGTTTGGAAAGAACTTGCATCAGGAGCAGCATTTTACCTCAACAGTTTGAGTCACTCCTACATCTTGTTAGGATCTGCAGTGTGTGGGTAAGCCAATACGGTGCTTTTAGGTTGATATTTTAAGGCTTTTAAAAGCAGCCAAAAGATAGAAACTGAATTGGCTGCAAGGGTCTAAGGTGTTTTAGTGAAGAGCTCCTGGGCTGAGCAAAGGTCAGGGATCCAGCAGTTCCCAGTTCCCCTCCCAGGCTTGACTGTTAAAAGACTTGCCCAAAGGGGTGGAAGTTAGGATGGCTTAAGTTCCTGCCACCTATAAAACGGGGATTTTCACACTGGTCCTGTGATGTAGGCCAATGCTTGTAAAAACAGTCCGAAGATGCAAAGTGTTCATTAATGTGGGTCTCAAACTGTTTCAACATCAATTTTTAAAAAGAAGATTCCTGTCTAGGATGTAAGCAACTAGTGAGGTAGTCGAGTCACTACTCAACTAGTCCCTCCCCCGGCTTGCTGCCTCTGCATCAGAGGCACTAAGTGGGGGGTGGGGAGAGGGAGGAAGGTAGCAGGTCAGATCAGTGCTAAGGGAAGTTGGCTTAAAAGCTGGTTCCCGCAGCAACGTCTCCGCACAGGGGAGAGGAAGAAGGGGCAGGGAGAGGGGGAGGAGAGACAGGGAGGAGAGGCAGGGACCCAAGCGGTCTCCACTCTTGTGGGTTCCCCACTACACCTCTTCCTTTAAACGTACAAGAGCCCCAAGTGGCTCTTGTACATTTCAAAGGCTGTGGAGCAGCGGGATAGTCAGCTAATCGAGTAGTTGATGGAAATTCCATTGACCGGGGTGGTCTGGCCCGGCAGGATACCAGGAATTTCCTGATGGAACATTGTGTCCACACACCGTTGCCCTTCACTCCAAGTGGCTCCGCGTCCGTGCTATATGCACCACGCAGAGCCCGACCTGCCGCCTGCCGGACATGATGCACGAGGTGGAGCTTGAGGGGCATGCAGTGGTGACGTCATAGGGAGGGCTGTTCTTAACCCATTTCCTGGGCCTATTTTGATTGCCAGTACACTCCTGCCATTGACTACTCAATTAGCTGATTAACTGAAATTTAACATCCCTATTCCTGTCAAGTAGTTTAAGATGCGCATTTAAGTGACTACAAGATAAAATGCAGCCCTGGCTTGATGGTTAAAATGTGAAAAATCTGAATTTTCATTCCATACCTTAGTTGACAAGAAGTTAAAGTAATAGCAGCAGGTTACCGTGTCTGCCGAATATTGCAGTTGCCACACTGCAATTTGGCCAAGCGATCCGCTCAATCTGGGTTCAGACCAGTTTGCAGAAAAGCTCAAGTCTCTTCCCTCAGGCTGTGTCCAGACTCAGGGGTTTTTTCAAAAAAAGTAGCCTTTTTTCGAAAAAACTTCACCTGCGTCTAGACTGCAGCTGCGTTCTTTCGAAATTAAATCGAAAGAATGCGGCTTTTCTTTCGACGGTGGTAAACCTAATTCCACGAGGAAGAACGCCTTCTTTCGAAAGTGCTCTTTCGAAAGAAGGCGTTCTTGAAAGCAAACAGGCTTTTTAGAAAGAGAGCATCCAGACTCACTGGGTGCTTTCTTTCGAAAAAGCGGCTTGCTTTTTCGAAAGTTCCGCGTGCAGTCTAGACGCTCTCTTTCGAAAGAGGCTTGCAGTCTAGACATAGCCCTAGTGGGCAGGAGCTGAACACCAAATCAAGAACCCCAGTGCTGGGAAATTTCAAATGGGACCTGGGCACCAGATCTCCACATTTGGAGCCAGAGACTTGACTTTGGCAAGTAGCGACAGGGGGCCCAATTCTGCACCCAATGCTGTAATTCCATTGACTTGCAAATTAGTGTCATTCTGGGTCACCAGGTGAGAGCAGAATCAAGCTCCGCCAAGTTCAGCCCTTGATTAGCAAGGTTCAGCTTGGGCCCCCAACATCTCCAGAGAGCATTACCCAAATACAAGTGTCTCTTCCAAGTCCACAGGCAGATCTGGAAAGAAGACTCCTGCACAGATGAAAAAACATAGCAAAGCGAGCCCCGAGCAGTTACGATCCCACTTCTGGCTGCGTCTGTGATGGCCCCTTTGCGATATAAATCGGCAAATCCAGGATCTTCCATCAGAGCAGATCTGTTACCCATTCCCCTGTCAAACCAGAGCCTCCCTAATGGACCTACAACTGTTTATTTAAAGTTAGGAACTTATCTAAACCCCTTTACAGGGACATGCTAGCACAAACACACACAGCCTCCCAAAGGGCTGGTTCAAAGAGGCAGGAAAGGCTAGGACAGTGAGATCTGGAGAGGGTCACCTGGGGTCAGGACCATTACAGTCACTGTTTATATAATAACAGGTTATTTAACCCAGGCCTCTCATTAACACCAAGAGCTTATCAGCAGTTTCTGAACGATCACATGCTCATGAAAAATCAAGGGAGGGAGAAAAACAAACAGAGACATCTAGATCTGTTCATACTTACTCAGTCACTGAACAGCCAGCCTCCTGGGAGCTATAATGAGTGTGGAAAAGGGGTATCACTTTCTCTCCCATGAGATTCAATCTGAGCCAAATGCCACAAATAAATGAAGGGAGGGGTTGTTTGGTGGTTTTTTGAACTGCACCAAACAGCGCCAATGGGGAGTACCAAACAGGGAGTGACAGAGCTCAAGAGCACAACAGCAGCCCCCTGCCACACCAAGCAGGAAAGAGGGGAAAGGCTTGGAGTGGCAGCGGGCTGTTGTTGTGCTTTGGGCAGGGGCGATGGGGGAGGGATAGCTCAGTGGTTTGAGCATTGGCCTGCTAAACCCAGGGTTGAGTGTTCAATCCTTGAGGAAGCCACTTAGGAATCTGGGACAAATCTTTGTCAGGGATGGTACTTAGTCCTGCCGTGAGGGCAGGGGACTGGACTCAATGACCTCTCAAGGTTCCTTCCAGCTCTATGAGATATGTATATCTCCCTCTAGATCTAGCCTTAGTGGCTGTATACCACTGGAGAAGTGAAAAAAAGCTGCAGTCTGATATAGTTCACTACATTCAGAGGCTGCTGCACGGCCCCAGTGGGAGATGAGGGTGCTCAGCACATTACAGGGGAGACCTCAGGGTGCTTCCCCCTACATGCTTATTTTTAAAGAGGCCAGCATGCAGACCATCCACCCAGGCAGATCCTGGGGAGGGACTGCAAACTGAGCACGGCTCATTTGCGGAGCATGAAACCTCCCCTCTGCAAACTTTGCCCTATTGGAATACAAGTATCACACAGTAAGAAGGGACATCAAGGCAGCTCCACAGGCAGCACACACTGACCTGGAGCGTGTGTGTGTGAGTGTGGTGGGGGGGGAAGTGGGGGGAACGCCAACAGGCGGAACTAAACCGGAGATCTCTGGAACTTAGTGCAGGAGCCTCTACAGCTAAGGCTGTAGAGCAAACTCATTCTCTCTCTTTGTTAGCAAGTGGAGACACTGCCTACACCAGAGATCAATCTTCTGGAACCCGATTTAGCGGATCTAGTAAAGACCTGCTAAATCAAATGTTGAGGACACCTCTGGACAGCGCCGGTACTTCGATTCGCAAAGAGTAAGAGAAGCCGACGGGGCATTTGCTCCCGTGGACCTCCCACTGGGAAGACGGCACCAAGCTTGGCTTACAGCAGGTCGACTCCAGCTACATTATTTACATCAGGCATAGACCTGGCCTAAGTGTCACTACAGTTCCCCCCGCACCCAGTAGATTTGGGGGTTTCATGCGCACAAGGGAGGGGTGGGGGAGTCATGTCGAGCTCTGAGACAGCTGCAGCATCCCTGATATTTACACCTCAGGCATTTCTTCCCTTCTCACCCAGATAAACAGCTCAGCTGAGACGTCCCAGCATGTTAGCTTGCTGCTGGCTACAGTGCTAGGACTACCTCTGCTGTGAGTCAAGCAGATGAGATTGCTGGGTAAGCATTTCCAAGCAGCGATGTGCTGCAATTTATAAAAGTTCTTGCCTCTTAAAAAAACCCAAAAAACAAAAAAACCCACCAAACGGGGAAATGAAAGAATGTGAATAATCCACTTCACAAGAAACAGAGCAGCAAGAACAGGAGGCTAAGCACCTACTTCCATTACATACACAAGCATCACCTGCAGACAGTGCAAATCATGTGTTGGGAGGGGGAAGGGGGGGTTCCCCTTAGGAGAGATTTTTTTATCCATGTAAGACTTGCTTTATTCCTCCTGCATCAGCCTGCCACACCCCCATTTTACAGATGGACAGAGCGAGGCACAGAGACTAAAGGGCTCTCTCAAGGTTACAGAGCAAGTCATGGTAAGGGCTGGTCCACAGCCCAGATCTCCCGGTCTCAGACCTGTGCTATCCACTGGTTAGTACACGGAGAGGGGGACAATTCCTACAGCCCAGATGTGCAGACACAACTAAGGCTCCTGTCAGCTCTTCACATCCAGCCCTGTTCTCCGTTTTCTCTCCTCTGGCCCGGAGCCGGTGGGTAGTTTGGGAAAGAGGAGGGTGCAGAGACCACAACTCTCTCCATAACTTCCCTGAGTAACGGGTCCCTGCGTCCACTTTGCAAACTTACTGAGGCTTACCACAGACCAAGGGTATCCCCCTCTCGGTATTTATATTGTGCCCATCACCATGGGGACTTGGCACCTGGGTGCCTAACACATCTGATTTCCCAGGGTTTGGGCCACTTTCTCCATTTTACTGGGCCTGGAAACTCTACCAGCTTTCATGCTCAGGGTAGGGACCTTTCGACACTCCCCCACTGGCTCACCTGTCATTCTGGTACACGTCCACACTGCTGTTCAGTTCTTCTAGTTCCTCCTTCAGTAACTGCAGATTGGAATTAACATAGCTAAGCTCCAAGGCAACGGTTTCTTTTACTTTGTGATTACTGGTGGCCCTGAAAATAAAAAGGAGATGGGGCAGAGGAGAAATCGTGTTAGGAAGTGGCCCGCAGGATAAAAGCCATTGCTCTATCACATTCAAACCACAAGCCTTCAATTCCCAATAAAACAACAGGTACAACTTTATGCATCTGGGCCCTTTCAGAATTGTTCAAGGTGCTTTGCAGAGGAAGGAGTTAAGCCTCAGAATGCTGCTGCAGGGTGGGGAAGTGTTGTTCCTATTTTACAGGGAGAGAAAACGAGACTCAGAACTTGGAAATGAGCCAGATGCACCCAGGTCTCTCATATTGGGAAGCAGGATTGCTCTTGGATCTCTGCTCTAACTCAATGCATCACCTTTGTACTTCCACAGAGATTCACAGCATGTATTTTGGGTCACATGTTTTCCAAGGTCCGGAGACATTCCCCCTATGATCAATGGTAACGGAAGATGGGCATTGAGGGGGGAGACTGGGAGGTTGAAAGACAAAAGAGCAATTAGGCAAGAGTGTTCAGGGGGAGGAAAAGTCACTGTGACCAGGGGAGTCGACAGAACTGGCAGGGCCCCAGGGAAGAGAGGAAGGACAGGGGGCTCTTCACATCCAGAAGGGGTGGGGACAGGACAGCCAGTCCCCAGCACTGCGCAGATAGTGCGATGCTGCCCCTCCCCAGTCCTCAGCGCTGGCCAAAGCACGTGGTGCAGGGTTCTGCGGGCGCACCGTTCTGCGGGCGCACCGCCAGGGGAGTCGACAGAACTGGCAGGGCCCCAGGGAAGAGAGGAAGGACAGGGGGCTCTTCACATCCAGAAGGGGTGGGGACAGGACAGCCAGTCCCCAGCACTGCGCAGATAGTGCGATGCTGCCCCTCCCCAGTCCTCAGCGCTGGCCAAAGCACGTGGTGCAGGGTTCTGCGGGCGCACCGTTCTGCGGGCGCACCGCTCTGCAGCAATTCTCAAGGGCCCGGGGCTCCAGTTGCCACTGCTGCTGTTGCAGTAGCAGCAGCAGCTAGTCACAGTGCCCCTGTGCGCCCCCCCCCCCCATCCATCCTTCAGCACCCCAAACTGTGTCCCAGACAGGCCTGCTGTGGGACATGGAAACCCGACTCCTTCAGTAAGCTTCTCCTAGGAGGTGTATTTCTATATGGCCAAGTCCCCACCTAGCGATTAGACCAGCATCTGGCAGCCTCCATAGCCTGCTTGTTAGGGGCAGCAGCTGCAAGGCAGCTTTCGACTGCATGTGCACCCTCACTCTCAAATTGCACTATGAGTTTAACAAGAAGTACAGCCAAGGGTTGGTCTTTCAATCTGCTGGACCCTCGGATGTGTCTAGGGCCACGTTTGCTTCACGGTGATGGGACAAGCTGACTTTGAAAAAAAAAAATCAAGTTTCCTGACATTTCAAAGCCATGTAGCGCTGCCAGGTGTCCGGTATTGAACTGGACAACCCAGTATTTGTCTTCTGTCCGGTAAAAAAGTTCCGAAAACACTGGACATTTAAAATGTCCTGTTTTTTCCCCGAGGCCCGATTGAAGGACACGTTAGCTTGTGCCGGCTGTGGAAGAGAAAGGTTTTTTTGGGGGGGCGGAGGGGGGGTCAACAGAATTTTTTCCTGGTGGTTTTTGGGTTTTTTTGGCCGGGGGGGCGGGAGAGGAGGAGAGAGGGTTTGGTATTTTTTGTAAAGCCATCTTGCATCCCTAAAGCCATGCCCTTTTCTGCCGCATAACATCAGGTTGGAGGACGGGACAGAATGCAGATTGGGCTTGCAGAGAACTTGCTAGGTCCTTACAGACAAGTCTGAATATTTTTATTAATTGTTCATATTACAGTAAAGCCCAGAGGCCCCAATGGAGATCAGAACCTCAGTGAGCTGGGTGCTGTATGAAACACACACATACTCCCTGCCCTAAAGAGTTTACAATCCAAACAGAGAAGACCGAGGCTGGGAAGGGAAACACAGGTTCAGAAAGGTGAAGTGACTAACTGAAGGTCACAGCAAGTCAGCAGCAGAGTCAGGAACAGAATCCAAGTGTGAGCTCTAATCCAGTGACCGTCTCACTAGAGAACATGGCCTCTTGTCCCTATATGCATGATCACAACTGCCAAAAGAACATTCAGGCTGCAAAGTTAGGAAACAGAATTAAGGTTCCCCATGCAACCTAGTGTCAGCCCCTTGTGCGCCTGCATTATGAGGCTTAGCACAACTCAATTTTTATAATTGACAAAGGCTTATTTTTAATCAATTTAAAAACGTACACAGTTGTGAAAAATTATGAGGAGAACAGACAACTTCTTGAATATCAATGACTATTACTGTTAACAGTTTGTTTTAAGTTTATAAACCATCAACATCACAAGTAAATATCCTTAAATCAAGAAGTTCAAGCAACATTTCTCCCTACTTTGTCTATCTCTAAATTTCTATTGACCTTGGCCTTTCTGTTGTGTGCAAGTATGGTAAAATTGACACTTACCAATAAAACCTGAATCCTTTCAAGCCTAATTGTGATCTTTAATTATAAAATCATTCATACACTCCTTTTTCAACAGGACCCCAGCCTCACTCAAACAGGACAGGCCTGCTCTGGGAAATAATCAGCATCATGTATTGAAGGAGATTTGTCTGTAGGACCTCCAGCCTTATTTGGAGTGAAAAAGGTGTGTGTAATGAATGAAGCAGGGGATTTCAGGAAGAGAAAGGAATTAAGACATTGAATGCGGCCCTGGAGATTTGGATTCTGTCCCTGCCTCAGCAACAGAGTTCCTGTAATGCTGGACAAGCCAATAGCTCAATAAGATTTGAGCCTTTATTATGCAGACACATTTTCAACCGAGATTCCGTAGTATTTACACTTCATTTTTAGGTGTAATTCTTAAGACACAAAAAGTGCAGCCTTTCCAGTATGGACAGCAACTTGCTGCAGCTCAGAGGCAGTATTTTGATCAGCCAATAGCAGCATCCTGTTGAATGCCCTGCTTTCTATCCCATTTATTTTATATCAGTAAACAAACAGAAAAAAGGATGGATTTCAGCAGCAATGAGTTGCCTGCTTTCATGAGACAGCTTTTCAGGCCAATTGCACCTTAACTCAGGGGAGGGGGAGGGGGACGGGGACGGGGACAAGAAAAGATAACCTAGTGGTTGGGGAAAGCTGACAACACCCAAATGGTCTGTTGAAACATGTTCTAGCCTTGACACTAAATCAAGCTGGGCCTCTACTCAGCTGAGCCGAGTCAAGAAAAGGACAAGGCCTTACCTCAGGCTGGCTCCCGGCTAAACGTCTTCAAGCCTCTGGCAAGTTATATTCACTAATGCCAGGGTCCCACAGGAGATAAAACCACCTCAGAAAGCACACGGATTCTGAGTAGCCTAATACTTCTTTACTAATTGCATCCTAGATCAGCCTTCCTATAAAACTTTGCCTAGGGTTGAGGTCAGGATAACCTGGCCTATCATTTCCTGGGTCATC